AAATGTCCTTCATGACCGGTTTGGCATGGGCAGTGAGATAGCACCCAATGTGTTCTTGGTTTTGACTATTTCTGTGTCTGACAATGCAGCAGTAAAAGCTGCTCATTAACAATGATGTCTAAACAAGAAAATAAATAGGGAGTGAAGTTTCATGAGTAGTATTCACTGCAAAGGATTGCTTTTCCATCAGCAATGCCAATTACACTTTCCTCCTTTATTTAGCAACATTCGCAAATGGAAATCTGCAACTTAGCAGTTGCTAGTAATACAAAATTTGTGTTAACATGTTTAGGGAAAAAATTTTAAAAAAGTTATTGATATGTCATTGCCTGCTTTACCAATCCCTTCTTGTTCAAAAATACTTAAATTATATGCCAATTCTGGTATATAAGGGATATCACTGGAAACTGCAGGACAATCACACTGGAGGAAAAAAAGTTACCTATTTAAACAAATACATACATTAAATGAAAAAAGTTGGACAGAAAACAAGCTGTTAATTACTAATGATACTTGAAAAAGAAATCAATATACCATGTAAAAGATTTTTGGACTATACAGGTATATTAAAAATCACTAAAATGCTTGATTTAAAAGCAGAATGGAGATATTGATGCTGTGGGAAACACAAAAACCAGAGACCATCTGCTTATAGTCAGTTCTAAAGAAACACATTTGCTCAAGGTGAGTAACAGGGAAGACAGCATTCAAGTGACACTTCAGACCCTGCTGCCAAGATCTAAGTAGTGACACGTCAGTGATTATGTGTTCCTCCCTTTCAACCATGGTACCTGCGAACATATTTTCCTCTTTTTGGCTTAATGGAAATAAATGCCATTTGAATCATTAGGACTAGTAATCCAGATAATTTGTATTCACACTAGTTTTCAGAGGAAAATTATAGCCCATATAATACATTGAAGATATCCTTATGCTGAACTTGGAGATCAAAACCACATCTCAAAATCAACAAGTTCTGGTTACTTCCTTAAATCCTCCTGCCACAAAGGGCATTGGAGTCCTACACAATCATTGCCCAAGCTCTGGTAGCTGAACTCATTTATCAGTCAAAGTAGCACATCACTGTTGTTGACTATTGAACTACAAAGACTTTTATAAAATTGGAGAAGTTTTAATATTGTTTAATCTTATTTTTTCTTCAGTGACAGAAAAAAACATATTGTTGTTTGTTTGTTTTGAGGCAACAGTATAAAGGTTTTCTCATAGATTTTTTGCTGTTGGAAGATGAAATTCACAGATCTTAGGCTTTTTTGGTTAATTTTTTTGTGGCCATTTCTCATTTTATAGTATTTATTAAATAATGTCTGCTGTCTGAAGAAGACTGATCTATTCTAGAGTTAGGTCAAGCCTTAAGAAATTTATGAATATTTATCACTCAAACTTCTCACGCCATTTTGCATGGCAGCAATATTACAACTTGAACAAGAGAGTGGAAGAAATTGTTGCTCATTCCAGCAATACACCAGTTCTTGTTCTGTGTGCCACATGCCATTTAACATTAATTAATGTATCTATCAATATTGATACCTATACTGTAATTTTTGAGCCTGGAACTAGATAATAAGGGGAGCATATTATCCAGAAATACCTTTTTGTGCAAAAATATGTGATGAATTTGCATGATGAGTGAACATGGAAAACTTGTGTGTGCATACATATACCCATATATTGTGCATGTACACACACACAATTATATATGTATACTTATATAAAAATGATTTTGACACAATCCTCTTCACATTGATTAAGGTAGCAGTTAGTATGGCCTCAGTCCTGTCACTGGTTTCCAGTTTTTTGCATCTATACTAACCTAAAGCAAAGGGTTAACCAGGCTTTCAGGAATCATGCCACCTGCATAGTTAAACATAATAAATACAAGAAGTTGCTATCTTATAGGAATTGCCTTTGTGAAGGCTTTTAACCTCTTAATTACACTCTTGAAAAGACTCCTGCTATTTCAAAGGTTTCAAGAAATAATTCCTATTGTAAATCAGAAACCAATGCAAGAACCACCCTGTGAGCAGCAAATTCCTAGACTGTATGAAACAAGAAACTGAATCTGTGCACACCTTCATCTGACAGGCACAACCCCATTTAAGCAAACAAAAGAGTAATAGTTTTCCTTTCCTCAGAGAAGTCTCTTTTGCTGGTGATCGTCTTTCAGGTGAGTAGCTTTTCTGTACAAACCCGTATCATTCCATCTTGGGTCTGCTACACAGCTGTCTAAAGGTTTCCACTGACCGCTCCTATTCTTCCTCTGTTTTAATTCTGTCACAAAATATCGGTCCTTTACATAGACTATGTTTGGTTTACTTCTTCAACTTCTTCACCCAAGGAAAAAAAAATTTGCAACAAAGTCTGAGTGAGACTGTCATTTTGTTTAGAAACTGTGCTGAAAATTCAACAGTCTCTTTCAGAGCAACAAAGGAACTCTTGTTTGCTTGGCTTATCGTGTTTTGGTCCAGAATATGTATACAGCGATGTGATCTCAACAAGATTTTTTTTGTTTGTTTAGCAGAAAGAAAATCTACTATAGTCACTAGACCAGCATTTTCTCATGACTTTTTCAAAGATCAAAGGAAAGAACTGTAACCTCAAAAGTATATGGCTGAGATATTTCAGTCTGTCTGGTCAATAAAGAAAAAAGGCACTGACCAAATAACAATTATAAGATAATTAATTCTTAGGGCTGTTTAACCTTTAGGAACCTTAACAAATGCTTTGTATATTAAGGAGGTAAATGTTGTTCAAGACGGACGTAAGAACCTGGGAGCTAATACAGTATAATGTGTGTCTGTGTAGTGGTAAGTTATACACAGATGACATAATTTTGCTGAAAATCAATTCATTTCATTAATTCTGTTATTCAGATTTTGGCTGAATTGAATGTATGCAAAAGATGTTAACCTTCTGGTGGAACTTCTTTATATTAAAAAAACAGAAGAGCACGTTCAACACAGTACATTTCTCAACCAATACATCTTAACCAGACTGGATAGCTTGCTACGGATGCTCACTCTATCCTTGTCATTGTTAAGACTTTTACCAGTGACGTTGGTGATCAGTGCACACTGTAGCAACAATTTTTGTGATAGTTATTTGAACTTCCAGATTGACTTCCACATTTGGATCTTGGAACTTTTTTGGAAAATAATTTTATTTCAAAGTAATTCTGTGAAAATATAAGGTGTTCAACTAAAGCACAGAGAAGAGTCAGTTGACATTTTCCTCTGTCCAAAGAACCTGCCTGCCTATCTTCAATCATCTAGATATTTTATGCTGCACATTCAAAATCAGTAGGTCCTTTAGAAAATTTAGTCTTTTTTTTTTGCATCAGTTGACAATGAAATTCTGTGGATAATTCAGAAACATACTCTATTTACTGTGTCCTGCATTGAGACAGCAAGAGTGGCCTTGTGGTTGCAAAATGTGACCTGCAAGTGCAGCAGAAGGAACTCATGATACTCAACCAACTGAACAAGAACATGGCAGATGAATTTCGGTATAGATAGGTGTCAAGTGAGGTACTTAGGGAAAAGGCAATTCAAACTTTACATGAAAAACTCTCGAGTAGCTACTAACATGCTAGAAAGAGGTCCCACAGTTGTAGTAAGTATGAAAATAACAGGTCAGTGTTCAGTAAAGGTTAAAAAAAATTTAAGCAAAACAAAGTTTGGGGAGTTAGTAGGAAAGCGAACAAAAAAGCACCCATAATTCCCCTCTATAAATCCATGGTGTGCAAATTTAAACATGCTGTGCAGGTCTGATCCTTCCTTGACTTGTCTCAAATCATATATATGAGAACTGAAAAAAAGTTCAGTAAGAGTGAGAAGAATGACCAGAGGAAGGGAATAGCTCCCATATGAGAAACAATCCTATCAGCCTATGTCTGAAAAACATGACTAACGGAGATACAACAGAAGTCTATAAAATCTGGCATACATCAATAAAGAACTGCTGTTTCCACTTTCCCCTGATGCTGCACTTTGGGGACATCAAATGTGGTGGGAAGTTCCAAGTAAGTAACAGGAGCTACTTCACCATGCTACACAGGGCTAGCCAATCAGCAGATACGCTACCACGAAAAATCATGTTACGTTGGCTCAAAAAGCAATCGTACAAACTCAGAGAAGAAAACCCTTTAAGAGCGATTAAATTCAAAGAAGCCACAATATGCTCAGTGAGTCTTTGAGTACAAACCTCCGGCAGCTGGGACATTTTACCAAAGGAGTATTACTATATTCTTTGCCGGACCTTCTAGTTTTCCTTTGGCATCTGCTGTTGAAGACTGGATACTGGTCTAGGTCAGCTTTTAGCATAACCTGGTACAACCATCCTTATGTTACGGGGCAGAAGCACATCAAAATAATTTCATTCATACCACGAAGCAGCCAATCCTCACTCCTTGTCTAGAGTTTTGGCAGGAGTTCTGTTAAAACTGAAGCTTGTGGACTGAGTCAGCACAGCACAGTCAAGAACTATAAATACGGAGACCTGCCTGAAGCACAGAATATAATTAAGCATCCTCTAGTACACTTTGTTTCATGAGTTAATAGTGTTTTCCATACTGCTTAAAAAGAAAAAAATTATGCCAAATGAAAAAAACCATGGGAGTCATTTGGGGTTCTTTCTTTTCCCCAGTGAAGAATCTTAACAAGAAACCATGGGAAAGACCAGTGCTCAAGGGACCATATTCTTCTTGACAGACGGAAAGCATTGCAGGGCAAGAAATGTCTTCTCAGATGGTAAAACAGTTTATAACACTGCAAAGAAGCTGCCGCTGTCATGAAATTACTGGAATGAAATCAGTCACTTTTGATGTTTAATTGAGAGTACAATTCTCTTGAAAAGCAGCTCAAAGAGAGTTAAAAGAAAAAGTTGATTCAGCACATTATTAAGTGATATTAACAAGTAGTTAACAGATAATCACATATTACTGTTCATGCAAGGTTACAAGTTCATTTATCAAGTATACTCACAGAGACTGCAGGCTGCGCAAGTTCTGGAGTGCTTCAGTAGGAACCTGGCGTAGTTGGTTATTCTGCAGCATCCTACATTTTGAGTAGCACAAAAACCAGAATCAACACAGTAAAGATATTTTCTTTCTATTGTAAGCTTACCTCCTTTGTACTGGTTCTACTTCAAGATTACAAACAAAGGAAAGCTACACAAATAATCTGTTCCTCTGCCCCTGTCAAATGCCAGTTCTCTTCAAAGCAAACAAATACCTGTAGCATATTAGCTTTGTTAACAGCTACACATCAGCTTTGAGCAGGATTTTCAAAGCAGCTGAGGAAGTTAAAAGAATAAATCCGATTTGCTTTCAATAGTGCTTGAGATCCTAATTGCCTCCAGTGATTCCCAAATTGTCATCCTCGTGTACTGATTTTTTTTTCCTTCTGAACTGCTGCAGTTTCTTATTCTGATAAAGCTGTGAAGGATTGACCCTTGAAATCCTTATTCAGGCAAATGCTGCTATGGCAAACAGAACTTTTGACTGTATCAGGAGTTTATGATTTGGTTTGAATAAAATTCTACCTCTGTAAAAACTGCTGAATTTTTCCCAATGAAATAAATTTTCTCAAATGGAAGGTTTCTAGCAATTACCTGACAAATTTCTTTTCTGATATATCACATCACTTAGCTTGCAAAGATTGAAAAATCACTTTTCATTCCAAAAGAATCTTTTCCTCCCTTTGAATGTGGTTTCATTCACACCACCTAATATCCTTGTTTGGACCAACTGCTACATATATAAAAGGATTCTATGTGGGTAAAACTGAAGTAGTACACGCTGCCTTCAAAATGAGGCATACTCGATGGCACATTGTAAACTAAATCATTTTTGGCAGGCCTAAATCTCCTTAGGCCACCAAGAGCTACAGCTGGCCAACTTAAGAGTAGATGGAGTGGGAAGCTCTTCATACTTCTTTCCCACTTACATATTTTTTCAGCAGAGCTTTGTATACTCTTACAGTAGCATCTGGCTTGGCTTGATGCTGCCTAGGAGGTTGGTGTTCTTGATAATAATACAGTTTCTTGAACTTTACATAGGCAAAGATACCCTCTAGTATAAATATTATGAGATGTGGCCTGCTAATAATTTTAGTAACCATATGTACTGTCTTATTACTCCAAATAATACAGGGTTTTGTCATATTTTTCATAATTTATCTTATAGTAATTACGTTGCAAAGAACAAGATATGAAATACAAACTGCATTTTAAATTACATGGTGTTCTTTCTATAATAATGTTTTTTTCCCCCTGGCTCTCAAGAAAAGGAAAAGGCAATTTACCCCCAGTTTTGTGTGATCACAAAAAGTTCACTAAGATTTTTAGACTTGAAATCAGAACTTTTGAGACAATTAAAGAAACTATTAACCAAACCAATTTTTACCTTTGATATTGTACAGAGACATCTACTTGATGAGCAAGTTGTTTTTAGAATGCCATTAATGTTTTCCAACCTTTGTGTTTAGGATATTTTCTATATGAAAAAACAAAGATTTAATGATGTTCATATGTATCTTCACTTCAATTGAATTGTTCAAAATGAGCTGATCAAAATATGTAATTTACTTGATCAAAACTTCACTGGTTAATTAGTTCCCTGGAGCATTTAGGAAATCAGAAATATATCAAACAACACACAGTTTACTTACAGCACTTTAAGACTGAAAAGGCCAGCAAATGCTCCCTTAGGAATGTATGTCAAGCCATTTCCTGCAAGACGTCTGCAAAGTTTGAAAAAGGAAAAGAGTGAATACTTTTTCTCTTCATGTGGAATTAATTTGGTTGTTAAAAAGTGCAACACAGCTATGTTTGAGTGACTGATGCCAGAGGCAGTAGTTTAATAGCCTTGTTTTGTCATTAATACACTTTTAAAAGCAAAAAAACCTGAGAAGCCATTAACTGTACAGTTGATTTACTGACAGCTGGACTGCAGAGACAAAATGCAATTTCATTGCAAATCGAGCTTATGGTTTAGAATGCACACTGAATTCTTCATATTGTTCTTTTTAAGGATTACAGCAATCTCAGCAACTAAAATACAGATATACTGACAACAATTAGCATCACTGGATTTACAGCCATGCACTTTTGGAATTGTGCACGTATGATGTCTGTGAACATTTAACTCATTTGCACTAATATCAAAATATATCCACATAGTAATGGCCACAGTTCATTTTAAAATAACTACACATAAAACTGCCATACTGGTGGAATCATAATTTTTCCTGTGAGCAGATGTGTAATAGGTTGGCATAAAGTGTATTTGCTAAAATTTGTAGGGCTTTTTTCCCTACTTCTATTACGTATTCCTTCTCAGAACGCCTGAAAGTATTTTACAGACCTATGTAAGTACAACAAATACCTCTGTAAAGCATGTTAACTCTGACAAAAAAAGACCGCATTCTGTAAGGTTTATGCCTAGGAAAGATCTCATGCATTTAATGTGAAATAATGGTATTTCCACGTTCCCCATCAGTGCATCTCCACAGCATCTCGCATTTAGCCTCCCGACATCTCAGGTCGGCATGAATGTGCTATGATACCTGTACCCTACCTGGAAAACTGACTGGCAGGGGTCAGATTCCTCGTCAAGTTACTTTGTGTCAGTAGAGCCATAGTGTCTGCTCTTAGCTGGCAACAAATGCAGGTTGATATGATGATGTAACCCTCTTCTATTTGCAGACCAAGTTAAGCCAAGTGCAATTGATATTTCCCATCAGCTAAGATAGTGCACACCAAAATTGCAGACAGTTACCACAGACCAGCTGATGTGATAACAGAGTTGACATTTGATTTGGCCTCTGGCCCCTTAGGAAAGACCACAGGACTAGATCCAGAAAATGCCTTAGGTACCAAGCTGGCAGAGAGGAACCTACAGCACTGAAGTAGGCACCAGGGTTGCCAGTACTGTTCATGGCAAAGGCCGGGTGCTTATGACTGCAGTCCCAAAGATCCAGCACTGACTGGCCCTTCAACGCAGTCTTCCTTTGGAGTTTAGTTGCCTCAAGCTAACTACAGGGTCCTGAGCACACCTTCTCCTTAGACACCTCTTTCATGCAGAAAATAAAAATATAAATTGGGCCATAAAGAAAGAAAACATGATTCTAGATCCCAGCTCCAAAGACTTTTCAGGCATTTCCAGTTTGTGGAAAAGGCTCTTCCCTCTACACACACACCTGCTGAACAATGTGACCTGTAACTCCAAGCAAGTGGCTCTTCCTCTCTCTGTTTAATGAATTTAATTGTGCTCTGCAGAGGCACTCAGCTTCAGACAAGAGCTGCTGAGCTTGTGTCTCCCTTTGGAGTACACCGGAGTTTGTCGTTCAGACATCTGAGAATTGGGCACGTGCACCTGAGTACCTGGAGGCAGATGAGTGAACCAAACCTGGGTCACTCTTGCTCCAAGGTGAAGCACTCACAGGCCGAGTCTATTTTTTTTCCAGATGTGTGAGTGGCTTCTCCAGCTTCAGCTTTCATTCTGAATGAAAATGGCAATGACTTTTGGGTTGTTGCTGGATCAAGCAGATGTGTGCTAGGTCAGGCACACCAGACTGGGTCTCTGAAAGTAAATGCCATTTGTGGATCACTGACTAGTAGAGGCTCAGGACCTATCTAATGCTGATCTCAGTTTATGACATGATTTTTTGGAAAGAATTCACCCCCACAGCACCCTTTTGATCTGTTATTTTAATGACATGACTGGACATGAGTCTCAACATGAGTCTGGCATGAACCAGAAAGTGAGGCGTCTGCAAAACTTTACTGGAAAAAAAGTAGGTACAGATATTGAGGTTTTCACTTAGAGCTGTAGATTACTGCTTTGAGTGTCACATGGAAAGCTTGATAAAGAGCAGAGAACTGAACTAAACCCACACGTCTAAAGACTTAAGCTGGTGCTCTTTCAGGCCACCATCCCTTCTTTAAGTGTGGCTGTGCTGCGGCAATTTTCGTAACTGTCGCAATGCAAACTGCTAAACACACTACATGTTCATACCGCCTGTTTGAACTGGAATACTCTTCATAAAATGGGCCAGCTGAGAAAATCAGACCTGTTTAAAAGCTCCTGGAGAAGGCTTTGGCAATTACCAAGCACGCTCCTCCCTGCTGCAAATGCAGGACTGGCAATTTAATTGGGACACTATGCAGCTTTAAAGTCTTGTTTCAATGTGTAATACTCACTTTCCCCAGCTTCAGAGCATCATCATGGCTTTCTGTGGTAAGACTTAATGTTTGGCATTTTTTGAAAATGTACTATCATAATTTTAAGACATTTTTATGGCAGCTGTAATGTATATCTAATATATTTAGAAAGAAATACCTAAGGACAGAGAGACACCTATACATGTACATGCTACACGTTTTTTCCCTGTTTCCTTTTGTGGCCAGGTCTTCTGTCAAACTGGCTTCAGGAGAAGATTTGCCAGCTTAAACAGCTGTCATTCTGACTGTAAGTTCCATCTAGCCACCCACAATATACCACCCTAAGAGCCTGACCCCTACGCATGGCCCCAGCTCCAACACCTTTTAGAGGAATATCCAAAGCTGACAGACGGTAAGTTGTAAGCGAGGGATGCTGAGCCATGTTCCTGAGCTGTTCTGAGTGATAGTTACCTGCACTACTAAAGTGAGATGTAATTTTTTCCTCTTTTGTTTTGTTTTGTTTCAGATTCCAACCCTTGTTTTATATTCTGCTTCTTTTCCTTCTAGATCACAACTTCTCAATTATTAAATATGTCTTGTACAAACACTTTAGACAGATGAAACCACATGTTAATTTTCTTTTTGGTAGAGACAGCTTCTGCATTTACTCCTTATGAGTTTTTCAAACCTCAGGTCATTCTTGAAGTTCTGCTTTGAATATTTTTGAGTTTGGAGAGAGCGCTCACTAATTTTGCAGACAGTGATTAATACTATCTTATATAATACTCCTCTGCTTATGCAGCAGCAGATCATGCTCATCATGTATAGCCTTACAGATTTCAGTAGAGGGCTACATCAAATATATCACAAATGCCAAAATACATGTATGCCTGTCTAGTTCTCTCACGAAGCAAACTGACCATGTCAGAAAAGGTAGACATCTGGCAACAACTATTTTCTATGTAATGATGTTGTCTGACATTCAGTTACCATATTAAATTCTCTCTCATGATGCCCTTTTCATGACTTTCTGTGGAACTGACTTCAGGCAAACCACCTATCTATTCCCAAGACACTCCATGGCACCCTTCTGAACACTGGCACAACAGTAGCATCTTCCCAGCTGTGGTAGGTGTGTGGTTGGAATTCCTCAGCATTGTGGTATTTGGTAAAAATCAGCAAAACCGATTCATTTGGATCATTGTCTAATTCTTCCAATATTCTGGGATGAAAGTTAGCACATCAGTTCTTTAAGGCCTGCTGCAAAGCTCATTAAGTTTGGCTTATTTGTTCCTGACCATTTTTAATACCTTCCTTGCAGCTTTTTCCTGCTATTACTGTGTTTCTATGCTCAGTCTTGGCATAAGGGAAAATTAATCCCCTTGTTGACACTACAGTATCTATGAAGTATCTATCAGGGTTTACTCTTCTCCACCTCAGGGATTTTGTTTTCCATTACCCTAAATTATTTGAGGGAAGCTGCCCAGTATTGTACTGAACTTTGGATGGACTTTGGGTAGTGATTTTACTCTGGATGGGTAAATATTGCTTTCCCTGAACAGATGAGGATGGACATACTATCTGTCTCTATAGTTCAGCATTTAGTTAATGATTTCTGAGAGCCGGAATGAACTAGCTTGTTTATAGCACTTACACAACCAAATGGCTGGCTTCTATTGTTTGAATGACTTCGAATTTGAATTTTTAAAAGTTATTTATTTCCAGCATTTCTGACATTATTTTAGGAATATCTCATAAAGTACATTCAGACTCAAATGTATCACATCTCTTTAATGAAAAAGTAATCAAAAGTACACAGCATTTCTGATTTTGGACCATACTTTTGGAGCTATATTATTTTAGAACTAGATTATACCTACACTGCTTCATATAATCTTGCAAATTAATGGAGGCTGGAAAAGTTTATGGGGAAGTGTTACCACATGCTATCCTCAGTACCTGCTACTTGCCACTGTTGGAGTCAAAATACTACAATACTTTTGGCTTAAGCATAGACTAAGTTTTTATACTACTGCATGTTTCTTTCTAAAAGATGTAAAATAAATAAGCTTAGAGAAAAGCATGTTGCCTCCATTCTTTTAAATGGCAGCATTTTATAAAATATCTTTCAATGCAGTTCAGCCCAGCTGGCAATCTCTGCTCACTGTTGGAATAGCTGCAGTGCTGCAGGTCAGGTTCATGGCCTATGGCTGGATCTAAGAAAAGGTGTGTCTGGGTTCTCCTTTGAGTGTTCCCCATCTGTTTACCCCTTTGGTGTATTCTGACCTCTCCTGCAGTGTCATAGTTCTGAGAAACGGTGGTCACCAAGTCAGCAGAACATTCCCAAAGTCAACACAACTAATGAGACACCCACAGAAAGCTCTGAAAATGATTAGAACCTTTTTGTTTTCTTTCGATTGTTGCTCATGTCTGAAAAGAAAAACTTCATTCCTCAGCAAGAAGCAAATAAACACGAAGTTGTGACTGAGCACAGTCAACTATTTTCTTTATGTTTCTAGTACAATAATTTTTCTTCGCCACCTCAAAACTGCTTTGTATGCGCATGTTTTCTGCATCA